TGTGTCACCAGATCTAAGTGGTGGCACTGGTCACCCGTATCCACTGTTAGCGTAACACACCCGCTTTAAGGACACTGACTGCTATTCAATCTATAACAGTGAAAAAATTGGTTGTTTTTTTTTAAATACAAGCTTTGTGTCACCAGATCTAAGTGGTGGCAATGGTCACCGTATCCACTGTTAGCGTAACACACCCGCTTTAAGGACACTGACTGCTATTCAATCTATAACAGTGAAAAAAGTGGTTGGTTTTTTTTAAATACAAGCTTTGTGTCACCAGATCTAAGTGGTGGCAATGGTCACGTATCCACTGTTAGCGTAACACACCCGCTTTAAGGACACTGACTGCTATTCAATCTATAACAGTGAAAAAAGTGGATTTTTTTTTTAAAATACAAGCTTTGTGTCACCAGATCTAAGTGGTGGCAATGGTCACCGTATCCACTGTTAGCGTAACACACCCGCTTTAAGGACACTGACTGCTATTCAATATATAACAGTGAAAAAAGTGGTTGTTTTTTTAAATACAAGCTTTGTGTCACCAGATCTAAGTGGTGGCAATGGTCACCGTATCCACTGTTAGCGTAACACACCCGCTTTAAGGACACTGACTGCTATTCAATCTATAACAGTGAAAAAAGTGGTTTTTGTTTTTAAATACAAACTTTGTGTCACCAGATCTAAGTGGTGGCACTGGTCACCGTATCCACTGTTAGCGTAACACACCCGCTTTAAGGACACTGACTGCTATTCAATCTATAACAGTGAAAAAAGTTTTTTTTTTTTTTTAAATACAAGCTTTTGTGTCACCAGATCTAAGTGGTGGCAATGGTCACCGTATCCACTGTTAGCGTAACACACCCGCTTTAAGGACACTGGCTGCTATTCAATCTATAACAGTGAAAAAAGTGTTTTTTGTTTTTAAATACAAGCTTTGTGTCACCAGATCTAAGTGGTGGCACTGGTCACCGTATCCACTGTTAGCGTAACACACCCGCTTTAAGGATACTGACTGCTATTCAATCTATAACAGTAAAAAAAGTGTTTTTTGTTTTTAAATACAAGCTTTGTGTCACCAGATCTAAGTGGTGGCAATGGTCACCGTATACACTGTTAGCGTAACACACCCGCTTTAAGGACACTGACTGCTATTCAATCTATAACAGTGAAAAAAGTGGTTGTTTTTTTTTAAATACAAGCTTTGTGTCACCATATCTAAGTGGTGACAATGGTCACCGTATCCACTGTTAGCGTAACACACCCGCTTTAAGGACACTGACTGCTATTCAATCTATAACAGTGAAAAAAAGTTTTTTGTTTTTAAATCCAAGCTTTGTGTCACCAGATCTAAGTGGTGGCACTGGTCACGTATCCACTGTTAGCGTAACACACCCGCTTTAAGGACACTGACTGCTATTCAATCTATAACAGTGAAAAAAGTGGTTGTTTTTTTTTAAATACAAGCTTTGTGTCACCAGATCTAAGTGGTGGCAATGGTCACCGTATCCACTGTTAGCGTAACACACCCGCTTTAAGGACACTGACTGCTATTCAATCTATAACAGTGAAAAAAGTGGTTGTTTTTTTTAAATACAAGCTTTGTGTCACCAGATCTAAGTGGTGGCAATGGTCACCGTATCCACTGTTAGCGTAACACACCCGCTTTAAGGACACTGACTGCTATTCAATCTATAACAGTGAAAAAAGTGGTTTTTTGTTTTTAAATACAAGCTTTGTGTCACCAGATCTAAGTGGTGGCAATGGTCACCGTATCCACTGTTAGCGTAACACACCCGCTTTAAGGACACTGACTGCTATTCAATCTATAGCAGTGAAAAAAGTTTTTTGTTTTTAAATCCAAGCTATTGTGACACCAGATGTAATTGGTGGCACTGACTGGGGAAATGGGCACAGTATGCACTGTGAGCCTGACACAGAAGCTGGCAGCAGTGGCAAACAACTGACTGCTATTCAATCTATAACAGTGAAAAAAGTTTTTTGTTTTTAAATCCAAGCTATTGTGACACCAGATGTAATTGGTGGCACTGACTGGGGAAATGGGCACAGTATGCACTGTGAGCCTGACACAGAAGCTGGCAGCAGTGGCAGACAACTGACTGCTATTCAATCTATAACAGTGAAAAAAGTTTTTTGTTTTTAAATCCAAGCTATTGTGACACCAGATGTAATTGGTGGAACTAACTGGGGAAATGGGTATGCACTGTGAGCCTGACACAGAAGCTGGCAGCAGTGGCAGACAACTAAGTGCATTTACATTACATAGAAAAAAAAAATCAAAAAAAAGCATACCCTTATCCCTAACCTAGCTATGCTTTTCCCTATCTTATGAACAGCAGCTACACTTTCCCTCCTCTTACTAAGCATGCAGCTTGAGAATGAATCTAAAATGGATGCCTTCCAGGAGGTGGGAGGGTCTGCTAGGGAGGGTGTGCTGCTAATTGGCTGGAATGTGTCTGCTGACTGTGAGGTACAGGGTCAAAGTTTACTCAATGATGACGAATAGGGGGCGGGTCGAACCGCGCATATGTTCACCCGCCGTGGCGAACGCGAACATGCTATGTTCGCCAGCGAACCGTTCGGTACATCACTATCAATGAATCCCTGATGTCAGGATACATACCCAAACTTAGTAGTACCTATCCATAAAAGTGGTGACAATACTTTGGTATCTAACTATCACCCAATATTATTGCTCCCGGAATTGTCAAAAATCTTGGAAAAATGCATCCACACGCAACTACGTGAATATTATCAAGAATCTAATTATCTGACCCCTGATCAATCAGGCTTTCATCCAAATCACTGAACTTCGACTGCCCTCTTAAAAGTTTGCAATGACATCCAAATTGGCACGGAACAAGGAGACTTAACTGGAGCTATTTTTCTTGATTTTGCCAAAGCCTTTGACACAGTAGACCATGGCATTCTTAAAAATTCAGGCATTGTGATCGTCCACTAACCTGGTTTCCATCATATGTGTCAGACGGATTGCAATATGTGGCCATTTCTGATAGCGCCTCCCTCCCTCTTCCAGTCATGTGTGGTGTTCCGCAAGGCTCCAAACTTGCCCCTCTACTATTCACAGTATTTATAAATGATCTGCCTAAGGTCTGCAAATCCCCAACTGTACACATGTATGCAGACGACACTGTAATCTATGTTAGTAAACCCAATCTACTGCAGCTTGAGGCTGTGCTCTAAAACCAATTCATAGAGGTAGAAAGGTGGATAGCGGTTAACAAACTCTTCCTAAACACTGACAAAACAGTTACAATGATCTTTGGAACTGTGCCTAAATTAAGTAAACTACAAAATCAACAACTATGTATCAGAACAAATAGCACACTTACAGCAATCTGTTCTTTCAAATATCTAGGTATGTTGCTAGACCCCAATCTATCATTTGGCCTTCACATTGAAAAAATCTCTTCAAAGCTTTACCCAAAGCTAGGTGCCCTGTACAGAAACAAATCCTGCCTAAGCCCTACAATAAGAAACTGATCCTGCATCGCAAAACCCCCTTAATAAACTCAATTTGTTATACAATTAATTCTGCCACTTTGTACTAGAATGTAATTACTTTACCCACCACTGTGAAATGTTAAAAGAGCTAAACTGGCTATCGCTAGAATCCTGACGCACTCTTCTTCTTTCCAGCCTTATGCATAAGAGCATTTCTGGGAAGCTCCAACCCTACCTGAGTTGAATGCTCTCCTCGGCTGTTCCCACCTCCTATAACCTTCAGTCCAGTACAAGCACGATATTTAGCATACCGCAATATAAAAATAAAGTGGCTCGATCATCATTTTCCTACAGAGCACTGCCATTATGGAATAACCTCAGGGACACAGTCAAATCTTCATTCAATCTAAAATATTTTAAGAGTTCTATGGCAATATACCTCAGCACAGAATGCACCTGTCATGGCTGAATATATTTATCACCTGTTATGTGTTTATATATGTGTTAGTATATATATGTATATTGTTTGTATTATTTGTAATATTGTATCCTATTGTAACAATGCAATGTTTTTGTGGACCCAGGACATACTTGAAAATGAGAGAAATCTCAATGTATTCATCCTGGTAAAATATTTTATAAATAAATAAATAAGGCTATGGTTTTCTCCAACAAAGGAAATAGACTCAAACTATAATCATAGTCCCATTACAATTTTATTTATTAGGGGGCCCCATCTCAATGTCTCCAAACCCCTTTTTGTAAAAGAAAAACTCACTATATTGTCTCATTAGTAGAGGGAACCATGTAAGTGGATTCTGTCTACCATGGCTCGTGTGTGCATATATAGCATAAGCCAAATATAAGTAAGAGCTATATCTAGAATGATAGGATATCAATGAACTTATTGTTAGGCTTTTGCTTTACATTTTAAGTTTAGGAAATTTCAATGTAAATTGTCTAAAGAAATACATATCAGAAAGACAATTAAGAGGGAGGGAAGAAGGGGGAAAGAGAGAACAAAAAAACAAACAAAAAAACAAATAATAAACTTGATCCCGGAGTAAGCTCCTCCCCCCGGTCCTCCTTACGGCTTTTCACCTCTCTCAAATCACCTCCAGAGCTCTAACTCTCATTTTGCCATAACCACAAACTGTGTTTGTCATACCGATAGAAGCGGCATGCGCAGCTTCAGCAGTTTGAATTTCTTCAACTTTCTGCAACCAATGTTCTTTTGTGGGTATTCCAAAGTTTCTGATCTTCCCAGCCATATTGCCAAATATAAAAACATATTAGTTCCTTCTCTATCTAAAGACACCCATTGTCTCCGTGGGGCCCTTAAATGCCAATCTTAGATCCTTTGCAGAATTGTGGACTGGAAATAATTCTTAAAATCTGATAATGCTTATCCCCCTCAAAGTAGGGGTAAACAGAGTAACTCATAACACAAACATGAGCATTCTCCTCTTCACACATACTTAATCGTTAATGTCTTCAAAGAATGCTCCCAGCAAAGAGACTGCCACACTTCGGTTTATTATCAGTCTGGTGCAGTACCTCACAGCACCACTATTCCAGAATGCTGCACTCAAACTGATATCTCTCTCTGTTCCCAGCTGGCCTTACTTTGTAATTAACTTCTCCCTATTTAGTTGAGCCTTCCCTTTCTTGTTTGCCAGTTCATTAATGTTGGTCTGGTCCTCCTGTCCTGCCTTTTCAGTATCCAAAGGTCTGTTCTGCCTTCCCTGTATCCAGAGTACTGTCCTGCCTTTTCTGTATCCAGAGGCCTGCCCTGTCTGTCCTGTATCCAGAGGCCCTTCTGCTACACTTAGTTATCTGTGTTTGTATTTTATTTAACTGCCTTCCTTAAATATCAATACACTTATTTTTTACCTTAATTTGTGTGTATATTTGTTTCTTTGTATTCTGGGTTCCACTCACATCGAGGTTGTTGCACTGGTCAGCACCCCTTCCTGACCAAACCCCTGACAGAGGGTGGTACAGTCTGAAAAAGATATAATAATCTTTGAAGAATATTAACCTTAAGCCACTGTCACTCGCCCATGCCAAAGTTGTTTGGGTATGACCACCACTTCAAATCATACAGTATTGCTTTCAGGAAAGGTAAATTATTATGTTGGTACATCTCACCTGGATGTGAAGTAGCCCAGATCCCGAGATACTTAATCTTCCCCAAACACCAATGGAACGGGAAAAGTAAGTTAAGGGCGGTGTATTCCAACTTGAGAAATGTGATTTTCAATACCTCACATTTGGAGAGATTAAGCTTAAATCCAGATAATGCCCTATAGTTTTCAAATACCATTATGTAACAAGGTAATGTAACTCATGGATTTGATACAAAAAAGAGAAGGTCATCCGCATATGCCTCAATTTTGTGTTCTACTCCAGCCCGTGTAACCCTAGATTTCTGGATTGTGATGTATCGCCTCAAGGAGCAGTTCAAGGGATAACGCGAACAACAAGAGGGAAAGGGGGCATCGCTGCTTTCTTCCGAATATTAAAATCAGCTGTAATGGCACCATTCAGCCATACCTTAGCTGAAGGTTTACTATATAGGGCTCTTATCCATGTCAGCATATTGTCTCCAAAACCAATCCTCTTCAATGTAGTCAGCATAAACGACCAGTTAAACAGTCAAATGCTTTCTTGGCATCTGTGGATAGAAGAATCATCGGCTCATTCCTCTTCCTAGCCTGATGTTGAGAATAATTTCAATGCACTACCCCTGGCCTTCAGGCCAGGAAAGAACCCAGTCTGATCTGGATGAACTAAAGTGGATAAAAAGGTATGCAGTTTGTTGGCAAAAGCTTTTGTAAATAACTTTATATCAACAGTAAGCAACAAAATTGTGCACTAGCTACTGCATTGCTCAGGATCCCTTTGAGGCTTCAACAGGACCATGATCATTACAGCTAATGACTCATGCCCAAATTCCTTCCCTTCCAAAATAGCATTCACTGTTTAGGGGCTAGAGCAGAGGGACATTTTTTGTAATATCCAGCAGAGAACCCATTAGGGCCTGGAGCTTTGGCTAAAGCAATCTTATCCTCCCTAATTGGGGATTCTAATGTCTCTGCCATCTCTGAAGTTATTAAAGACTAGGCATGTGCATGGAAAAAAAATTCAGTTCGGCATTCCGAAATTCGGCACTTCGACACTTCAGAACTTCGACACTTCAGAACTTCGGCACTTCGATAATTTCGGCACTTCGGCAATTCGGCACTTTGGCACTTCGG